TAGTGGATCAAAACATCGGGTAATGCTAACTCACCAGCTGTCACCGTTAGCGTCTCGAATCAGTTTAGCATGCTAGCAGAGCTGACACACAGCTAACGATCAGGCTGTGAAGCTTAAACTATTACAGTTAAAATAAATACCTACCTCACACAGTAAACTCTAAAACTGTTGTAGGTTCAAGAAGAGAGCCGGTCGCATTATTAGCATCAGCTGGACTTTTAGAACATTAGCCCCGCTGAAGAAGGAGGTGTAGTCGGCATACTTTCCGAGCACGCCTCTTAGCAGCGCGTCGAGGGTCGTTGTTTCATATGTTGCAGCTCCGCAGCGCCCCCTGCTGGTCAGGAGGAGAACTACAGTAGCGCCCCCTGCTGGTCAGGAGGAGAACTAAAGCAGCGCCCCCTGCTGGTCAGGAGGAGAACCACAGCAGCTCCACCTGCTGGACAGGAGGAGAACTACAGCAGCCCTGCTGGTCAGGAGGAGAACTACAGCAGCGCCCCCTGCTGGTCAGGAGGAGAACTACAGCAGCGCCCCCTGCTGGTCAGGAGGAGAAATGCAGTAGCGCTTTCTGCTTTTTTCCCTTTTTTTTTATATATATATTTAACGTAAAACATTACACGACAGTTATCAATATACATTCAACAACAAGAAAAAAAAAAGAACAAAAAAAAAAGCCGGGGGGTTATTGAAATAAAAATACATTAAAGTATACATTAAAGTATATATTAAAGGAGCACAAATCAAATTAAAAAATTAATAAATAAAAATTGTATGACTTTTTATAACTGTTTATTGTTGTTGCTGTTGTCCATTGTTGTCATCATTCTTTGTTGAAATCAGGTCTCTCTTGTAAATGAGTCCTCGAGGCTCAATGGGATTTACCTGTCAAAATAAAGGTTGAATGAACTGAATGAAAAAAAAATGTTTTTAGAGCTTTCTTGTTACTTCAGTCAGAAATCTAAAAAAGTTAAATCTGGTCCTCTGGACATTCAAAAAACAAAGCAAAACAACAAAAAATATATTTTAAAGCAGCGCTCTCTGCTGGTCAGAAAGTGAAATACACACAGCGCCCTCTGCTGGTCA